AGGGAGAAAATGGAAAGAGTAGTATTACTAGAAAACAAATAAGAATCTTAGTTTCTTCCCCCCACCCCCCAATTTAATAAAGAGGCATGAAGAGAAAATTGGGCCATTTTATTGGAAAGCATTGCTGTGTATCTAATTTTTCCTTGTTTGTTACAAAGTCCTCATTCTTATTTAATGTGGTATTTAAAAAACCCAGGCAGAGAGCTCCAGTTCCACTGTGGCAGCAGAAGCCAACTACTGCCCATCCCTCCTGCTAACTAAAACTGAAATCTCTGGGGAAAATATGAAAAAAAAAAGAATTATTTAAGGATGCTGGAGTTAAACAAAAGCAGGTGAACTATGGGAGGGCATCAAAATAAAGAGAAGCAACTGCATGGGGATGAATTTCCAGATTGTAGGAAAGAGCAATTGCTAGGATCTCTCTCCTGAGCATGGGTATTTGCCTCCAAGTCAGACTCCCATCATGGATGGTGCTGTGGTGGGCATGGCGTGGCTGGCTTCATAAAACTTGAAAAGAAAAACATCTGGCCAGGAAAAGAACCCCCTGGGGGCTAAAGAATAAGAGTGAGAAGAGACTCCCAGAGCAGAGAAAGACCCTCCCCTAATTCTGTGTATGAACAAAATGAGACTCTCAACAAAGACATAGAAATTATAAAAAATTAAGCAGAAATAAATTCTTGAGCCGAAAAATTACTGATTTGAAAATTTCACTAAAGGAGTTCAACAGCAAACTCGAATATGCAGAAGAAAGAGCAAACTTGCAAACAGGTCATATGAAATTATTGAGTTTGAGGAGCAAAAAGAAGAAAAATTTAAGAGAAGTGAATAGAGGGAGATGGAATCAAAATGCACCCAGCACTTGCCTCCTCTGCAAAGAAAGACCAAAACAAGTAGATAACCACACACTGAATAGAGTGTCTGGGGGAGAACATTGGAATTCAAAAAGTTGATGAAGACCCCCTGAGGCATGGAGTCAGGATGGTAGCGTAGAAAGGGAAGGAAAGTGCCCAGCCTGGGCCAGAGACTCCTCACTAAGGGGAGCAAGGAAAGTGGGGAATCCCCAGCAGTCCACATTCCCACCATGAGCACCTGCAGTCCTGGCTTCAAAAGAGCCACACAGCCCTTGCAGGTCCTGGGCCCAGTAAAGAGAGCTTCCTGGAGTCCATGCAACTGTAGTATTCTAGAGAGAGAACTCATGCTGAGTGTCTCCCCCCCCCCCCCGGGATCCAGGCTTTGCGGAGCATCACCATTTTGAGATCAGAGCCACCACCAGAGTGCATCCTACCCTGGGGCCCAATAGCCCCAGCTTCTCCACATCCCTGAGGCCCTGCCAACATCCCACCACACCCACCCAGAGGGCTGCTGCACTGCAACAGCAGCTGGAACCAGAGGTGCAGAATTAACCCTGACACCCAGATCCTCACAACACGAGAAAATGCACATAAACAAACAAATAGCAAAACAATTTATGATGTGAGCAAGAAATTCAACAGAGACATAAAAAAGAACCAAACAAAAATGTTACAACTGAGGGATTCATTGAATGAAATTAACATAACCGAAAGCTTCAACAATAGAATACATCAAAGAGAAAACAATTTTTTAAAATTTGAAGACAACTCTTTTGAAATAACCAAGTCAGACAATAAAATAAAAAATAATGAGGAAAGCTGAACAAATTTTTGCATTATGGGAGTTCCAGAAGGAGAAAGGAATGAAAAAGGCATCAAAAAGTCTGTGGAAAAATGGAATTAAAAGGTAATATAAATCTTCCTATGAGCTTTTCGAAGTACTCTCATGATTGCTAAAAACTTCCCAAGTCTTGGGAGAGATATGGACATCCAGATCCAGGAAGCTCAAAGATCCCCAAATAGATTCAACTCTAAAAGATCCTCTCTGAGGCACATTATATTCAAACTGTCAAAAGTCAAAGTCAGAATTTTAAAAACAGCAAGGGAAAAGCATCAGGTCACAGATGGAGGTCTGACTGACAGCATATTTCTCAGCAGAAACCTTATAGGCCAGGAGAGAATGGTATTATTTATTAGAAGTGCTAAAAGGAAAACAGCAAAAGTGCCAGCCATCTATACTGTATCCAGAATAGCCATCATTCAGAAATGGAGATCAGCCAGGCGCCTCCCGGCCATGTCTGCAACCAGCCAAGCCATGACCAAGCCGCCACCAGAAGACCCCTGGGCTCCCCTGCCAGAATGAGGGGGGTGCCACAGGCCTCGACCACAGCCCCCTTCCTCTTCCACCTGAACCCCTCCCTAATTCCTTCTCCCCCTCCCCCAACTGCTCCACAACATCTTAAAATGTAAAAAAATATATAATAATAAATTTTTTAAAAAGGATAAAGTCTTTCCCAGACAAGCAAAACTGGGGGAATTCATCACCATTAGACCAGCCTGTACAAGAAATCCTTAAAAGAGTCCTACACCTGGAAGCAAAAGGACAGTACTTCATCATGAGAACATGTGAAAGAATAAAACTGACTGGTAGAGAAGACACACAAATGAGAAAGAGAAAGGGATCAAACCTTATCACTACAGAAAACTACCAAGCCACAAAGATAGGCAATAAAGAAGAAGAAAGGAACAACGAATATACAGAACAACAAGAAAACAAAGTGACAGAAGTAAGTCCATACCTTTTTCCCCAAAGAAGATACGTTTATTTTACTGTCCAATTATTTTCTTCAAAATGCTTAATGTTTGATAAAACAAACTTAGCACCATAGAAATCTTTTGACATATACAATGACGTATTGTTACTATTTACAACTAAAAAAAAAAAAGAAATGCTTCCAGTGATGTTGAATATCCTGACTGTAGTTGTTAACCTGTAGGAAATTTCCTGTATGGCAAATGTATTCCTTGAAATAAAATTGAAAAATATAAATAAAACCTTCCATGAGTTGAGAATCATAAAAATGCTACCTGACGTTTAATCACCTGGATCTTGGGAAATTTGTAGTAGTGGTTATAAGAGTTCAACAAGCAAAAT